AATTGCTATACCAAATAACGGTTTTTATCCCCATTTTACACTTCACTGGAAATAGAACTGAATAATACAGACAGGCAATCGTGTTCTAAGGACATATTTTTATTCTTTTAAATTGTTAGCTGAACTTTTTAATCATAATAAGGCATTTGCTCCTGACTCATTATGGGATGTTTTCAGATCTTACATGCAGCGACAGACACATGTAACAGAGTACAGTGACCGATCAGATTGTAATCGTGTTGATGCCAATTGGTACTTTCTCATTATACTATTAATACCGCTAAAATCTCTTTATAAGTAGGGATTAATTTCTATATTGTTGCACAAAATGGTTGCATCATTTAATTAAAATAATCGCCATGAAGAAACCATATTTATCTTGTGAATGGACGAGTGATACAATACTTTTTTTAAATGACACAAAAACAAATGAAATTTAAAAGACTTTTTAAACAATTATGGTAACAATATTATGTATGTGTCCCTTTATGTCATTCATGTTTTTGACTTCGACCAAGTTACTGGTTGAGTTTATAAAAAGTAAAATCACAAAAATACTGAACTCCGAGGAAAATTTAAAAAGGAAAGTCCCTAATGAAATGGCAAAATCAAAGACTCAAACACATCAAACGAATGGGAAACAACTGTCATATTCCTAACTTGGTACAGGCATTTTCTTATGTAGAAAATGATGGATTGAACCTGGTTTTATAGCTAGCTAAACCTCTCACTTGTATGACAGTCGCATAAAAAAATCCATTATATTGACAACGATGCGTGAACAAAACAAACAGACACAATAGGTAAAAATGTCAAAAATAGGGGTACAGCAGTCAACATTATGTTATCATCTTAATCACTATAAAAACAAACAAATGTAACAAAAGCATGTACAATTATCCTGTTATATTATAATCCTTGCATTGTCTATAATCTAAATAATTTCATACGATATAAGTAGATAGGTCAATTTGGGTTTATATAGTCTATAGCCCTGAAGCCCTTTTATTTACAAATCGACGATGAAACTTGATTTTGGTTTTTATTTATTTCGGGATCATATGAGAACATCATCAAAGAGCATACGATTCCTAACAGTTTTGTTACAGATTAAACAACAAAAAGGATATGAAGTCGCACAAATATGAGTTTTTAGGTTTCTAAAAATATGACTAAAAAATAACATTTGAAATCTAACTAGACAGCACCTGCTTCATATTTCTAGTACTTAATCACAGTCCAAATTAAAAACTTTTTGATCTTTATGTTATACTGAATCTGTTTTTTTATAAAGTTGTTTTTGATCTTAACCCTTTATTATGTTCAGAGGAACTTTATAAAGTAGTTTTTGATCTTAACCCTTCATTATTTTCAGAGGAACTTTATAAAGTAGTTTTTGATGCTTACCTTTTATTATTTTCAGAGGAACTGAGAAAAAACTTAAGCCAGTGCGCATGTCATGGTGAGCTTTGATTAAATTAATGTTAACGTATATTTATGAAATTTCTCTCAATTCATACAAAAACAATAAGTATACTTTTTCTAGGATATTTTAGTAGATTCTTTGTTTGTTAGGGTTAAAAAAACATGTGCTTTCGTTACTGATACCGATATCATCAACGATTACACGTATACACAAACTTCCATTGACAGTATTTTACACAAAATTACTCATAAGCAGATAGTAATCAAGCCAATATCACCCGAAAGGTAATATCATTTATTATAATATATTTCATTGATCTTATATATTCAATATTTTTCCATTTGACATAATTTTACCGGTTACGTCATCATACTGGCTTTGATGGTTACCACTAGATGTGGGCTTTGAGGGAAATGGTATTTCTTGAAGAAGGACAGGGGGCTTATACATAAAATGTCCTATATCAATTACTGCCGCTGCGATGCGACTGAGCTTCAATTTTATTAGGTTTTCTTTTAGTTTGTAAGAAGGTTTCCACTCATCAATATCCCGGATGAATTCGATAATCAGGGAAATTTGAGGATCAGTATTTTTGCAGAGGGGAGGGGGAGTACTGCAAATAAGTTCTATATTTAAACAGGAATTTTCTTAATAAGTAACCTTCTTTTCGGATGGCAGGCGTGTATTTATTTTTAGCTGACAGCTTATCCTTGGAGGAAATTTCATAAGTCATGTCGTATTCAATTAAAACTCATCAAATAACATTTAATTGGTTAGCAACAAAACAAATAAAAACTGTTTAAAAAATGCCTGTTTTGAAGCTGATAAGTCTTTTAATTCAACAGAAACAGAATGTCACGTTGTCTGCACTAAAAACGAACCAATGCAGACAGACACGGGCGTAGCGAACGAGTTGTGATAAATAAACTCCATAAGATGGTGCCAAAGGTGTACCACCTTCAAAAGAGAGAAAGATGGTGTCAAAGGAACATCACCTTTAAAAGAGGAAAATTAAAAATAGGGAAAGAAAAATTGTCCCTTTTGTCGTAAAATTTTGTGAAGAGTTTTTCCATGTAAAACTGAAATATCTTAATCTAGGAAAGGACAGTTATTACCGTTTATATTTGATTTATTTAAAATTAGTTCCTTTGGGTAAATTTCGACCGTATATGTAAAAAATTCTTGAATATGTAACAAAATATCTCATCAAGATAACGAAAAGTCTTGTTGAATTTATCAATGAAACGCAATTTTGACGGGTCGTTGCCGAGTTTTGTCATGAACTGTGATTCATAACAGTACACGAACACGTCTGCTATCAAAGAGACGCAATTGGTATCAATAGGAATACATGTCTGTTCAGAAAATCTGATGCCGCTCATAAAAAGAATGGCACTTAAAACTCATCTTTTATACTATTTTTTCCTGTGGCAGTCCAAATACACGCCTTTCATCCCGGTAGACCCCGGTAACATGAACTACCTATTCCGTTGATTAATATTTTGTTTTCGTTTTTAACATGTCTGATATATTTGCCACTGAAAGTAAAGCTAACAACAATCCATCAATCAATCTTTTACAAGTGAAGCGCAGAGAAACAAAATTATTTTGAAATTTACACCATCATAACAGCAATGGTGTTTGGTGTGGGCTATACTCTTTGAGAAAGATAATCCATAAGCAGCAAAAAAATTAACAATATGGTTTATGTGCAACCATCTGTTTTCATCTTGCGTAATGTTAACGATCATACAACCACTAAATGGCAATGTAAATAATTCAGTCAAACTATGCATTGTACATATTGCAACCATATTTTCGCAATTAAATAAATCTACGAGAAAAAAGTTTGAAGTTTTAAAATAAGATCTCATAGGTGACTGAGGCGTGGGTTTTACTTAACAGATAAATATGCTTGACAGTTCATTCTTATAACAATCGAGTGTAATCACAAAATAAACCTTGCTTTGCTATCATCAATTTTCTTATATTCAAATGAAACTTATTCAGCTCATTTTCCGTCATAATTTCTCAGGGTAAAATATCGGTAGACTTTTGTTTGTGATTTCCAATCCATTGACAGAAACACAAAGATGATTCACGCTACGCTAATGCCCTTAATTGAAATTTTACAGGTCGAAAAAAAAACAGTTAATAAGAAGAAGGAACTATGAATGAATTGTGTTGTAAATGAAAGAAATATATCGTATAAAAACAACAATTCGATGAAGGATTTCCAAATCAATTTTGACAACTAATTTTAATTCATATTTGTTATTTTCAGATTCCCACATTGTCGAGATGGAATTTTGGAAAAAACAAGAACTAATGTTTGTTGAAACGCCTGCCGTAAAAAAGATTTCACAGATCCTTGAATCAGAATATGCCGTCTTAATAGTAGGTAAACCTGGTATTGGTAAGAGCATTTTGATGCATCATGTCGCTTTAAAAATACTTTCGGATACGATTTATAGTATAATACCATGTTCTGGAGTCCAGGATATAGTTCAGCATTATAAAGAGGACGAAAGGCAGGTGTTTGTTCTTGACGATATTTGTGGACGGTTTGCACCTAGTATGTTGGAAATTGAATACTTGATAAAAAATGAAGACAATTTAAAATGGATCCTGGAAAAGGGAAAAACGAAAATAGCAGCAACATGCCGTTTAGATATTTTCCGAGAGGAAACATTTAGTAATTCATGTACTTTTTTTTCATCAAATATCGTCAACTTGTCTGCGGAATATTCAAAAAAGGACAAATTAAAGATAGGTATTAAGTATTTAACAAAAACTAATAGTGAGTTGTTGAAAGATCAAAATGTTGAGTTTACACCTTTAATGTGTTATCTATATTCTAAACATGAAAACTTCATTTTGACTGATTTTTTACACTGTCCTTACGATACATACCGAAATGAATGGGAAAAGTTAAAAGCAATTTACCCACAAAAATATTGCTCACTATTTTTATGTGTTATTCACAATGGCATTATCAAGGAGGAATTATTTGACATCTTTAATGAGAGAAATAAGAAAAATAAAGATATCTTGGAAAACATTTACGAAATCTGCGAAATGAATCGAGGTACACCTAGAAGTAAAATAAAATCAGTTTACGTCAGCATGATTGGAACTTATGTATGGAAAACACGAAATGAATATAGAGTAATACATGACCAAATGTTTAATTTTTTATGTTCTTATTTTGGTTCCAAGGAAACGCTGGTCAGATGTATATTGCGTTATTCAGACATCCGAGTTTTGAATGAACGGACACAATTACAATCTATTAATGAAAAACATAACAAATTTACTATACTGATATCAAAGAAGTTTGAACAGGATTACTTTGAGAGAATAAAAAATGATTTACAACTTGGCAAACTGTATCAATGTTTTTGCAATTCACAGATGAAGCATGTAAAATATAGGGCTTCATTTCTCAATTTGTTACAAACCATAGATTACAACTTTCTTTTTAAACAAATATGTCCGAGAAATTTTCTTCACTATATTCTCACACTAAAGAAAGAATACAATGAAGACTCATCAGATGCGGTTGACGATGATAATCTGTCGGAACCTTTTATCACATCATGCTTCCGAGGATATTATGATATAGTTCATTTCTTTATCACCAAATATGTCGATTTAAAGTACTGTTATTCATTCAATACACCTCTGACAGCTGCATGTAGTGGAGGAAATGAGAAGATTGTACAGTTACTTATAGACAAAGAATGTGATCTTAACCAAACTGATGGTATGGGAGAGACACCTTTGACAGTTGCTTGTTCTGAAGGAAATGAAAAGATAGTACAGATACTTATGGAAAGAGGATGTGATATGAACCAGGTTGGTTGTATGAGAAAGATACCTCTGACAGCTGCTTGTAGTGGAGGAAATGAGAAGATTGTACAGTTACTTATAGACAAAGGATGTGATGTTACTCAGGCTGATGGTACGGGACAGACACCTTTGATAGCTGCTTGTACCGGAAAAAATGAGAAGATAGTACAGTTACTTATAGAAAAAGGATGTGATCTTAACCAAACTGATGGTATGGGAGGGACACCTTTGACAGTTGCGTGTTCTGAAGGAAATGAAAATGTAGTACAGATACTTATGGAAAGAGGATGTGATATGAACCAGGTTGGTTGTATGAGAAAGACACCTTTGGCTGCTGCTTGTAGTGGGGGAAATGAGAATATTGTACAGTTATTTTTAGAAAAAGGATGTGATATTAACATGGTTGGTGGTATTGGAGAAGCACCATTGACAGCTGCCTGTCGTGGAGGAAATGAGAGAATAGTACAGTTACTTTTAGAAAAAGGATTTGGAGTTAATCAGGATTATGGTATGGAAGAAACACCTTTGATAGCTGCCTGTTGGGAAGGAAATGAGAAGATAGTCCAGTTACTTATTGACAAAGGATGTGATGTTACCCATACTGATGGTATGGAAAAGACACCTATGACAGCTGCTTGTTGGGGAGGAAATGAAAAGATAGTACAGATACTTATAGACAACGGATGTGGTATTAACCAAGTTAATGATATGGAAGAGACACCTTTGGTAGCTGCTTGTTGGGGAGGAAATGAGAAGGTAGTACAATTTCTTATAGAAAAAGGATGTGTTATTAACCAGGTTAATGGTATGGAAGACACACCTTTGGCAGCTGCTTGTTTAGGGGGAAATGAAAATATTGTGCAGTTACTTATAGACAAAGGATGTGATGTTAACCAGGCTGATGGTAAGGGAAAGACACCTCTAACAGCTGCTTATAGCGGAGGAAATTATAAAATAGTACAGTTACTTATAGACAAAGGATGTGATGCTACCTAGGCTGATCGATGGTACAGACACCTCTGACTTTTTAATAATATACAAAGGATGTGATATTCACAGACTGATGGATTGACACAAACTCCTCTGCCAGCTGCTCTAAGGGAAGAATTGAGATGATAGTTTATTAACTTAAAACATGTGGACGTGGTCAAGCCATGCTGATGATATTGGACAGGCATCTCTGACAGCTGCTTGTTGAAAACAAATGAGAAGATGGTACATTTATTTATAGACAAAGGATGTTTCTTAACTCGGCTGATGGTTTGGGTAAGACACCTTTGACAGCCGCACAGCCGCTTGTTCTTACGGAAATGAAAAGATATTACAAATACTTATAGACAAATTATGTAATGCTAACCAGGCCGATGATTGGAGTGAAAAATCTCTCACAGTAGCTTGACATATAGGGGGGTTAGAGGATAACATATTTACTGATAAATGAAGGAGCTTATGTTATAAATGCTTAAAAATAAAAGAACAGACTTCTAATGTCCCCCGCGTTGCACATATTTTATCTATCCAAGGTACAAGGGCAATAACTAGAAAACCTTTTTTTTTTTGTTCTTTAAAACAAATTAGAATATACTATAAGTTTTATAAAAATCTGGCAAGAATTGTACCCGTGAGAGCGCTAACGAGGCCATTTTCCATAAATTTAATATTTCCAAGGGGCACAACTCTTTAAAAAAAGTCTTTAGGCCACCATTGTAGAACTTGTCCGAGATATTGCTGATATTAAGCTATAGTATAGGTTTTATAAATATCTAGCAAGAATTGTATTCGAGCGAGCGCTAACGAGATCATTTTCCATAAATTTAATATTTCCAAGGGGCATAACTCTTTAAAATAAAACGATCGGCCACCATTATAGAACTTGGCAATAACTAGAAAACCCATTTGTTTTAGTTCTTTATCAAACAAATTATACTATACTATAAGTTTTATAAAAATCTGTCAAGAATTGTACCCATGAGAGTGCACGGACGCACGGTCAGACGGACGGACGGACGACCGGTATTTCTATGTCCCCCGCAAAAACGGGATATCAGCCAGATAAACAAATCACTTCCAGATTATGTTTAAAAGATAAAAACAGTAACTGTTTTAACTGTTACCAATTTTGGTTTGGCTTTGTTCAAGTGTTTCTTACTTTTAGACAGAAAATTATCTACCTTAATACGAGGCTTTGTTATGCCTTATTTCAAACTCCTTGTATTGAACTGTGCAAGCTGCATCAGATAAAAATTAAAATTTTCTTCATCTACGACTGCATAATTTGAACACATTATGTGTACTAACCATTCAGTTATGAGAGTTGTGAAAGTTGCTTTTAAACACGAAAAACTAATATATCAAGGGTCATTCGAAAACCATTTATCCAATGAAAAAGATGACACCATGGCCAAAAAATAAAAACGACAGAAGGACAAACAAAGGAGATAAACATTACATATAAAACCAAATACTGAGCAACATAAATCACACCATCTCGGGTAATCTGGAATGGTCAGCAGTTCCTGTTTCACGTACCAGTCGTGTTGCGCAAGAAAGTGTAAAAAAATTGGCATTGTGGAACATATATGTAGTCAAATGAGATACAGATATTCAGTAACGGTTAACAAGCCATTATAACTTTCGAAATGAGGACTTCATGTTTATCATTAAAATTAGTTGTCGATTTCTAAATGAAAGTCAAGATATGAGGCCGAATTAACCGTATCAGTGGTATCATGTATTCCAAGATCATTTAGATAGATGCAGTCAAAAAAGTCGACAAATGTGCAGTAATTTAGTGACAAGACATCATCACCTTTATAGTGAAAAGTGAAACTGATAATACATAAAGCCAGCTTCTTTTTATTTTTTCTTGTTGAGCTTCTGTATGAAGTCTGCATTATAAGAATAAAGGAACAGGTCGGCAAGTAGATAGGCACAGTTGGTTCTTATATAAATGCCGATAGAAAATCAGATCTTCAAGTGAAAAATGATGAATGCTTTTCTAAAGGGTAGAGTGACCAAATGTTTTAATAATACAGCATGCAGAGAGAAACTTTGATTGAGTGTATTCTAACAGATCTTTTGAATTTGTTTGTATCCACATCTGATTCACATCATCCCTAAGGTAGATGTTATTAATTTGGAATGATGTTTCGTATAGCCCTTGTCATATAACGGCTTTTGAAAGGAAACTTATGTATTTTGGGTATACAGTATAGTGAATGAATATCCAATTCATTATCTTTGTTATACATTAAAGGTACCCTCTTTACTACACAAGATGTGCCTCTCGACAACTTATGTCTCTAATGAGATGCTCGAAGGCCTTTCACCTGACGATTATTGTAAAATCATGAAAGTACTTGTGAATATTAAATGATATATGCATGATCCGATGATGATGTTGTAAAATCGTGTTGACAATTATTTCGGCTGCAAAAATGTGAAATTTATATATGGCATTCATACCAGTGGAGTGACTGTTAAAAGTCTATGTCTTCAGTGTTTACTTACAAGTCAAACATTATTTGTTCCCAAAACACGTATAATAAGCACGCTGACAAAAAGCTTGGTTATAAGGATTAATCAGCTCTCACCAGCAATTGTGAAAAGATTTTGGTACTACGGAAATCCAATACGGGTGGCTCGGGGAAGATCTTGGATAGTGTATTATGTTTCTCAATTTCTTTCCAATATTCACATGAACGGTGTCATGATTTGTCAAATTTAGGATGATAGGTCAGCACAAACGGGGCTCTTATGTTGACCCTTTGTTCTTTATATAGTAAAGTTCATCTCGGCTGATGCAGTTAGCACGGGAGAAACCACTGTTAACGTCTTTTCTTTTGTAGACCCAATTTTTCAGATCATCGCGAAGTTCTTATAATCGCTTTTTCACAGTATTAGCAAGTGAAGCAAGTCTGCTTTATTCTGATGGCCTGGCTGTACGGATTGCTCTTGTTGCAGTGTTTTTGATGACAACTCAGAGTAGAAAGAAATTAATGTGTGTCTATAGGCTTGCTATTCAAATCTGTAAACATGATTTCAACCTTCACTAGTGTGGCAGTTTCAATAAATGTGATCTTAGAGGCAGGGATTTCATTAATGAACTTTAATGACGGGTGGCAGCCGTTGGCATGTAGAATGAACACATTTAGTTCTTGTTCAATATTCATTTTTTTCTCTCCAAGAGCATTGTTAAGGAATAATAGTTAAGTTCCCATCACGGCTATCAGTTACTACTAATGGCTTATCATATCGAGATGTAACTATCTGTTGTTGATTATGGTCAAAATTAATACCGGTTTCATTAACATTCGATATCAGTTCTCGTTTGTTTTTAAGTTGTACTTGTCCACAACTTTTCTCAGTTCTTTGACTTAATTGTCAATTTTCTGAGTACAAAAAATTCAAGGCTTACTTCTCTTTTCTTGGGCCTTACACATTTCCAATTTACATATTACTAATCCTTCTTTTGTTCGACCTGCTTCCCTATAGTGCAAATCATATTTACATCCAGAAGAATCAATTTCCTTCTACAATAGCCTTAATTAAATTTTGTAAGCTTTTTAAGGTGATCTGCAATCTATGTCGCTTTGACCTCTAGTAAACAAAGTAGACAAGGTAAAATGCATAGCTGATGATTCTGGATTGTGTATTCAACATGAACACTCTAGCTCCTTTCTGTATAACTTCTCTCGTTCTTTTGACATGTTAACTGTCTTTCTATTTTGGATGTCCACTGTCTTAAACTACAGTAAAAATAATCAAGACAAATGAAATGAAAGTTCGTTAACCTAAATTTCTTTTAATTTTACCCTATCCTATTAAATTATAAAACAGATACAAATTCTATGATATGTATTGCTTATGTCTCCATTTTGAAATGCACGAAAGAGTTTTCCTACTGTTTGGAGTAAACTCGTTAAAACACATAGGAAAGAAGCATTATTGTGCATCAATTATTTCAGACTATAAAGATAACGATATTTGATATTAGGATCAAATAGAATAAAGAATCGAGTAGGATTTTCTAGTTCAATACTGAAAAATGGTATAAGTAGAGTAGTTTGCAGACGACGAAATATTTGCATATTTGCATTTGTTTATGGCAGTGACATTTGTCATTTTTCACTTGCGTCAGATGAGACGATATGTCAGAAAGACCGACACAGAGTTACCAGGTATAAGCAATTATATGTCACCATACGGCCTTCCACAATAAGCAAAACACAAACCATTTATATAGCTATAAGAGGCCTCGGGATGAAAAATTCGAAACAATTCAAATGATAAAACTAATGGTTAACTTATAACAATACCATTTACAAAAAAAAAGTAATTAAGACAGGCATGAACTAACGGCAACCACTGAATTAATGGGTGCTTGCTTCACTACAAAAGTCTAAAAGTCTGAAAAGACCAGTTTTTGTCTTAATTTGCATGAACTTTTACTCGACTTTCTCTAAAAGTATGACTTGTGTCTTAATTTTTCTTGACAAATTCTCATTTATATTAAATTTGTATGAAATTTACTCGACATATTCTCGACATTCTGAATATGGTCTTAAAATTTCTTGACAAATTCTTGACATTTGAATACTGTCTTGAAATTTCTCGACATATTCTCGACATTCTTATTTTTTCTCAGTATGGCTTGACATATTCTGAGCATTTTGAATCGTGTCTTAAATTTACTTGACAGTTCTGAGTTTTACAAATCATGACCAATATTCATGATATAACTTTAATCTTTATTTCTCTTTATATGATATACTGTTGTTTCAAGTTACACTTCTTTACAACAAAAATAAAAGTTGGGCATGTAAAATAATTGAAAATTTGGGTATATAAATACTTTTACAAATGCAAATATATGGCTATGAATTCAAATCTAAAGTATAAAATAATTCAAATGTGGGTGTGTTGATATAAAACAATTTCAATGTGGGTTTTTAAATAATTACAAATTTTGATTCCTAAATCTTATAAATTAAATG